GATTACTTTGTAATGATAAAGCATAATGTAGGTCAATTTAAAATATGAAATAAATGGTAAAAGTAAAATTAGCACTGTTAAATATTTTAACCATGATATGTGAAGTATTTCTAACTTTGATAAACACCTTTTTGCAGAGTATTTTTAGCCATTGAAAAAGAGATCTTTAGCTGCGCTTGTGGAGATTTTATGTGTAATACGACAATGGTTCGATGTGGTTGAGGATTTTGCATATAACCGAGTCTGGTAAATCTCATATGGATCAGTTCCAGGAAATCTCACACATCTGCAATACAGCATACAACACTGGCCTACTTTCTCCCTATCATCTTCTCCCAGGGCTTCTTTATCCCTCCTTTAAAGCTTCACTATACCGACACGTTTTTTTTCCCCCCTCACTCAGCCTTTCTGGCCACAGAGGTGCTTCTACCAAAACTCAGCTTAGCATCAAACGTGATGAAGATGGTCAAGATGTCATTGTAACCTGTGGAGGTTTTTTTTTTTGGAAAGTAATCCAGAAGCAGTCATTATAATGTCTCCATGAGTGGCACTCAACCCTCAAATAGGTTCTAATGGTACAAACAGTAGGAAGGGTCGTGAGGGGGTGAAGCTACAAGAGGGTTGATTGGGCAGCAGTGTGGCATTCTCTTGGCTTAATCCAAAGTGAGAGGGTATAAATAGATCTCGTTAAATCTGATCCTCTTTGACTGAGCACCTGTGTACCAGATATTATTCACTCCCTCCCGTTCACGATAAATGATTCATGGCATGTGTCCACACTTTTGATTGCCGGGGTTAGCCCTAGAAACCACTTGAGTAAATGAGGATGAATGGGATTTTAGTCAAAATAGGGTTTCCCCTCCGATTTAGGGAGAGGAATTTAGATTTTGGCACAACAAGGGGGCAGTAACATGACTGCAGAATTACAAGCTGCTTGTAGTAGAGTTGGATTTACCAGTCTTAACTGGACAAACTTCTGGTAAATGACTCATTTCAGCCGGATGAATGTCACCTGTTAATGAGTGAGATTTCATCATTAGCATAATCCATGTCCCTAAAACCTGTTCTGCGCCGTTTGGGGGCAACTTTCATTCACAAAAAATTCAAAAAACGACACTGCAGCGCTTCAAATCCTGCTCAGCAGACAAAAAGATGACAAGTTTAGCAATGTCAGTGGTATTAAAGGAACAACTGGAAAATATTATTAGCACAGCTTCAACAACATGGAATCAGATCTGTGCCATAGAAATAGAGAGAGAATGGTTTGCATGAAGTTAGACACTAAATTATGTCTTGTTAAAGCAGAGTGCTCCATGACTAATATGGGAGGTGGTTAAGGGGGGTGTGACAGTCCCAGAAATCTTAGATGAGAGAGAGAGAGAGAGAGAGAGAGAGAGAGAGATGAGATTAGAGCCTACAGTTTGTTGTTGTTTTACAGAGGAAGATACTGGACAACAACCTGCATAGAGACCCTGAGGCAGCTGAGGGCAGAGTGAGAGAATTTTCTTAGTAACTACTGAAATGTTTCTGTGCCAAAACTAATAAAGATAATACAATTTAGAAAACCTTCTCAGTTAATTGAAAAGCCACGATGATGATGATGATGATAACATAATATTGATTCTGCATTAAGTTTGCCTTGCTATATATTTTAATTGAGTTAGTTTCTGTATATTTAAACTCCAAATTCATTCAGATTAAGGCAACATGATTCATGAAGGTTTGATTCAAAGGCTCTTCGCTCAAACTGAGAGAAATCAACTAATTTGCTCAAAAGGTTTTTCACTGTTGGAGGTTTTTGCTTCAGTGAGCAACATTAGATAATACATGAGTATTGATTCAAAGTAAATGCACATTTATCATAGCTGGGAGACTAATATCTTGCAGGTCAAATCATCTTTCTCTTTCATAGGTTACATCACATAGAACTTTATATTCATAAATTACTCACCTTGATGCTTGAAGATCATTGCCTTCTTCAATATCCAAATACACAGACATTTTCTTTGCAACTTTAAGCATCATCAAACATCCTCATATTTATAATCATGGTTCATTTTTAGCTTCTGCACACTTGTTCATCTATTTATCTTCTCATTAGACGTTAGCATGTAGCTGATTGCTCAGCCATTACGTGGTAGCTTGGCTTCTTCCTCTGTCCACTGATATTTCTAGTGTCATTGTTAAATCGATGCATCAAAATCTGTGGGAAATTACCTGTAGGTAATCAACACCAACATAGGCACAGAGGTCATCCATAGACCCCTTGTATATCACTCTACTATTGCTGATGTGACATTGAAGCTGTGAGGATTCTGCAGTGGCACCTGTACGAGCTGCTCTTCAGCAGTGTTGACAAAGAGATGAAGGCCGCATGTAGAGCAGAAGCTCATGTGCATTTGATCGTTCGGTGCGATCAATGCATTCACTTTGTCTCTCCTAAATGAATAGTTGTTCTGTATCTCAATCACTATATACTGTATAGGACTCTACCCTGTAGTCACGCAGCACTGTTTTTGCTTTTCATAAAAGATCTTTTGCCTTTATAGCTTCTTTATTCTTTATTTGGATCCCCATTGGCATAGACAAAGTGGTTGCTAGTCTTCCTGGGATCCACACAAAAAACATTCACAATAAAAGGCAAGCAAAAAGTCTTTCTTTAACCCTGGGTTAATTATTATTTGTTGCTCCTCTTACCCATGGCTGTTACATCTGAGGTCGTAACAGTATCAATTCAACCAGAAAAGGCTAAACTAAATATAAAGATCAGAAAACATGCAAGTGAAATGACATGACATGAATACATATGAGAAGACAGACAATATAAGCTTACAATGAAAAAAAAAGGCAACTTTTTTTAAATAAATTGCCACAAAAATAAAATAAAAACATCCAAAAACAGCTATAGCTAATGTAACATTTCTGTGAGATTCATCAGTGACTCTTTGATAGAAAATCTGCTTTTTATCTGCCTGATGTTGGTGGCAGAAGAAGCTGTATAAAGAACAGTTCTCATCAATCATGGTTCACTTGACATGTATTATAGCCATATACATTATATACTAGTTTATCACAAAAGATGTAGGGTATATTATTCCACATCACACTTTACTTCATTTTACAAATTCATTTTAATTTAGCCTCCACAGTTGGCCATTATATAATCTTTGTGCATCTTACACACAATAACTAATCAGAACAGCATCAGTCATAACAGAAAATGCAACAAGGCCCCATCCCATTATGAAAACAATGTGATCAATCATGTAATGTGGTCTTCATGGCAAGAATACTACCAAATACAATACATTTAGCTTTGGTGACTCATTTGTTAATTTTCACTCGTTTAGTGCTGGTATGCTGCTCAACATGTAGGTGATCTCTCAGCTCTAGTGATGTTGGTGAAGCACAGAACAAAGTCAGAAAAACTGCCATTGAGAAATAGTTGCTGTGTTCTGCCAGAGAGATAACTCTTCATCAAAGCAAGAGCTAAAGGTGAAAAACATTTAAGCTTGGCAATAAAAGACACTATTGTATGGTACTAAAAACTGCAATAAAATCCAGGAGTACAGCCCAAACAAGCTTCAATATTCAAACAGTGAGAGAAACTGGAGAATAAATCTGTTTTGTGCTGTGTGTATTATGCACAGGATTTAAATTATTATTGAATAACATCTTTAAAATTCTGTTGGAAATGGTTCAGTCCTCTGAGGAGGTTATGTAACAGGATGTCATTGAGTCTCTGACCTTGAAGTGAATTCATGTTCTTCAGGCATTATGTGTTTCCACTGACAGCCTCTAATTTAAAAGTATAAATCCAAGGCTAATCGGTACATTGAACACTGAAGCAGCTTTTACATTAAAATTAGTTCATTTTTTTCCCCTCAAGGTTAAAAACTGGGCTACTTTTCTGAGTCACATGTTGTTGATCACAGTGGCTCCTAATGAGTCACAGTCCTGTATTAACATGATCAACAGACCTAAAAGCATTCTGAATGCTGTACACAGGACCTGCTTTTTGCTTACTGAACCAAGATCTTCTGTCTCTTGTTTGTATGGTGCTGTATACACCAATATTTACTGTCTCCAGAACTGTAAACATACCCTCAAGTATATTGTGACTATTATTATTATTGAGACCATGTTTTGGCAATGTAATAGAGAGTGTTGGGTCAGAAATACGTGTAATAACTGCAGTTATATATGTAAAGATGTGGTGGTGCTAGAGGGGGCTCTGGAATGGTTTAAAAGCATATTAAAGCCCCTAAAAGGAACTTGAATTTTATGTTGATTCTGGCGGTCCCTGAAGACAAAAGCGATAGTGTTTCCATCACCTCGTTTCGTCTGATTCATGGAAATCCTACCCAGTGTCAGGCTTTAGGAATAACTACATAGAAATGCCCAATTTTCTTGTTTATGTAGGTCATATAGCAGCATCAGTGCTAAATTGAGAGTGTTTCATAACCAGTTAAAACCTCCTTGTAGTAAGTTTTTCAATTTATCAACTTTTCTTTTAGGGGGGATTCAAACCATATAAATTCAGATTGAGGATTTTCAAAGTAAAATATTTCAGTGCTATAAAAATCAGTGGTATTTAAGTTTCAACATTAAGTGTTCAGTTGTGGTTAAAGTTGCTTATAAAATTCTAATTATTACAGCCTTTTTTGCTTCCACAGATATTCGACACATTGCTGGTTCCCATTAGTTCACTTACAGAAAAGGTTTCTGTAGGTGTCGGCAGTAAATAACTTTTGAGCCTATTGAGTTCCTTTTCTTCCTTTTACAAAACTTGACAAGAAACAATTAAACAAAAGAAAATACAAGAAAGACAAAACTGACAAAGTGCAACTCAAAATACAATTGACTAATTGTAACATATTCTAAAGGTCAAATAATTATATTGGCACATGTGTTGAGATTTTACCTGTTGTCAATAAGAAAATGTGTGATTTATCTGTGCTGTGTCCTCACTAATATTTGACTTTGCTGTGATTTCACAGCTGCAGAACCAGCAACAGAAAAAGCCTGATAGGAAGCGGTCAGTCTTCAGGTTTACCCCGACCTCACTCCCCTCTCTCATCTCTCACAGGTAAGTGTATATTCATTACAGGTCCATCAATGTGAATGCACACAGTGTTTCCTCACCCCTGTGTTAGAAATATACCCATTGGTGCACAAAGGTGGAGCCATTAAGTCACAGTGTTCTCTCACAGGAAAGCAGTCCATTGTGTAATGCAAAAAAAGTTTGGAAAACAGCACAGGAAAATGCTTAAGTAGATGTATAATCCTCCTCTGTTTCCCTGTCCATGGCTTTAAACCAAACGTCAGGACATATCTGGCATCCTCATATGATATAGAAATGATCAAAGTACAGTTAATGTACACGTTGAATATTGTTGACTGACCTTAACAGCATCGAGTAGGATGCAGAGGCTTGTCTGGCACAGAAAGCGATGAGAGAAAGCAAGGCACTAAAAAGTAGTCATAAAATTTTTATTATCCTTACAGTAGTAATCTCTGTCAGGTCAGTTCTGTGGTGTTTGGTGAGAATTGAACTGTACAGTGTTGAAGGGCAGTGATTGTGCTGGGTGAGGAAGTGGTGGCCTGCGGAGAGGAAATGCACAGGAGCAGAGGGAGGGGAGGCCTCATTTACCACAGGGCGTTTTATTTCCTGGCATTGGTCAGCAAAAGCCATAACTCGGTGTTTGGTCTGCATTTTAATACAGTGTTTAAGATGGACTCAGAAAGCCACAGTGTTCTTGCTAATGAATGTATTCGGCTGTTGGATGACCTAAGACAGTGGCTTAGTCGTAATATTGGTACCAAAGGTAAGAAAAACATCCTTTCAGTTCCCTTTACAGCAGTCATATAACTGGTGACGTACAGTAATTTCTACATAAATGTGGTGTTTTTCTTCTGAATCCTGGTCACAGCTCTGTATGTCATTGGAAGCACATTATGAATCATTTTGGAAACATTAGCTTGAAGCATACGTCATGTTGTTCTTTCTCAGACAATGTTATGGACTATCAGTAGTTAGGTGCAGTCTTAACTCCCAAAGGAAGAGGTTATCATCTCTAATTGGCTGTGATTAAGATTCCTGTGCAATTAAATAGGTGACATTCGTCACTAACAAGATTCAGTACACTCTATCATTGTTCCCCACTATGGAAAAGGGCTGTCTTCGTCATCACAGGAGGTGGTGGCATCGTAGATTCTGGTTAATTAACTGTTTGGTCCCTCCTTTAGTGAGGGATGTAATTATGTCTGATTAATGCTGGACCATAGGTTTGTTTTTACATTACGAGTGTGGAACAGCTAATTGGTGCCTTTCAGACAGTATAATGTGTGTGTTCAGTGGCCCAAAGCTTCTATAATTAGCAGTAATACAGTATGTAGACATTACTGATGTAGGTAGAGAGGGAGTCCTGTATGTTTATTGGAGGACATAAAATTGTGTAGATACTTCTCTCTTTATGTGCAAGTGATCCTCTTCAAACCATAAAGTGCCGTTATTAGTCTAGAAAACATTATTTTCTGCTATTTCGTGTTTGCTTTTACTCATTGGCATAGGGTGCGTTTTATAGATAATCTGACATTTTATGGACCGAAAAGCTAATTAATTATGGGATAGAGATCAACAGATTCATCGATAATGAAAATAATTGTTATTTGCAACCCTTGTATATAGTCAAGATACACCCATTTCTATCCAGTTCAGACACCAGAATCTGTGTACGTACTTTCATAACAACCAGAGTTTATGGTTTTGCATTATTTTGAATGTCCAAGATAATGTTTAACTTGTTTAATAGTTTTTAACAACAATTTATATAAATCCTCTTTTCTGCCACAAATACCACTGTATACATGTAAATCACAGTAAAAAAGGACAAAGTCTTTATAAGTTTACACATTTTTATGAACAATTGGTTTAATTATGCCAGATTTTAGAGGGTTGCTGCAGCCCATTCAGCACCCCTACTACCAGCACCCACAACCTCTTCATTTGGCCTTAAAAGATCGAAGACATTTTATCATATATCACTAGTCCTGATGTCTTGACATTGACCAGTGCAACACCTCTTTCTGACAAGGTTTTAAATGGATTGGCTCTTATTACTTTTTACTCTGTATCCTCCATAATGTCCTTTATGGTCTCTTGATGATGATTATTTAACAGTTCCTAGATTTATTTCATCTTTTGATTCCAAGTTCTCTTTCTTAGAAATAAACTTCTTACCCAAATTTGTCAAGCGAGCTCTGCTTGGATTTTCAAATCTAGGCTTAAACCCCACCTTTTTTTCCTCTATGCTGTGGCCCCTCCCTGTAAACATTCAACTGATTTATACTTTGATAACTAGTCACCACAATTTCCTGACCTTATTCTTGTTGTTATATTAACAGTCTTACTTGCACAGTATGCATGTGTGTGTTCCTACATGTGAAGTCTCATGGAGGTCTGTCTGTCTGATGTTATATTCTGACTTGTAAAGTGTGCAGTGAGCTCTTCGGGTGATGTGAGCAGCTCAACGAAAAATCTACAAAATCTACATAAAAGACCTGCCTTGTCTCTCTGGTACTTTAGTTTTTAAAGCAACATCAAGGCAGTTTTGATAAGTCATGTGGCTGTCAGGCTTGTTGAGGCTTAAAGCTATCACATTTGCCCTCAGACGTTTAACCATGTAAGATCAGTGGGGAAAGAGTATTAAACTACGCCACACACTGCCATCAGGCAGGCGTCTGACACTCAACGCATACTGTTTTACTATTACTGGCAAGTGGAAGGTGTAGGTTAAGAGATAGGAGGATAGAGATGACATTTGACATTAAATAGGCTGTCTGGAAGATTTCCACAATAATGTCCATTCTGTGAATGTTGATGAAGATGATACTTTGGAATGAGCTGTGGGTGTATTTAGTTTGCCTGGTTGCTGACGTTGTTTCTAGCTTTGATAAAGCCATTGCACCGTAGTGTGGATTGCTGTGAGATATCAAACAGTAACTGTTTCAGTGCACTGATGGTTAATATCGCAGCTTTGAGGTCTTCACGAGACAGTCTTAAATCTAGATGAGATGCATTAATCCTATAAATATGCCAAATATGCCTCTGAATTGTGAGGTTTGCTACTTTTCTTTGTTTTATGTGAATATATTTGGGTGTGAGGGTGCTGGTTGGGCAAATAAACATTTTCCATTAATCTGCAAAATAAATAAATAATACATTTAAAAAAATAATTGTTAGTTGCAACTTTCTGTAACCACTAATTATTTGACTCGAACTAAGATTTGCTGATCTGGAATAAACGTTTCCTCTGATTTTTATCTTTGAAGGTAGAATGAACCTATAACTTTCCATTTAAGGAAAGTTATAGGTTATAGCCTATTCTGTTTTTGTTAGGTTACTCAACATTCATTTTGTGGTCAAAACCTAATTTAGTCCATTTTTTTGTGGTAGAAGTATCAGCATCGGTACTCGGTATCGGCAAGTACTCAGATCCAAGTATCGGTATCGTATCGGTTTGAAAAAAGTGGTATCGTTGCATCCCTAATTGTTATCAGTATGATTATCAGTATGTTTTGTTTATATAGCCACATCACCATTTAAAACGTCTTTGGGATGTTGACTCTGGGCTGTGATAATGCAGTCATCCGTGGTTGATTGCACTTTGTCAGGCTTTATTTTGGCTGCAAATTGAAAGTGGGAATTGAGTCTTATTGAATTTTGTTTGCTTGCAGGTTGTTTTCCTTTTCAATTAGCTTTATTTCTGTTTCTTTGTGTTTTTCTTGCAGGAACAAGCCCACAAGACAGTCCTAGAAATTTCTCTCCCAGTGCCTCTGCTCATTTCTCCTTTGCACGAAGGTATACACAACCACAGACATTTACTTGATTTGCAGCTGAACAAATCAGCCAGTAAAGACCAGAGGGAGACTCTGTCAGATGCAAAAAATGAGAGTACTCTGAGCTCCGAGTTGTAGCCTTTCAACAGTAGACATTGATATTTTCTTGTAGAGTAAATTTATGCTTTTTACTGTATTTATTTTATACCATTTCTCAACACGATATCATGTAATTGTGTATTTTTATTATAATCCACAGTCATTGCCACAGAGCAGACAGGTAATTTCATGTTAGGTTTCCATTTGTCATTGACTTTTCGTAACCCCACATTTGTCCCAAGTACATTTTATAGTTCAAACTCCCCTTTCATTAGTTTGTCTTGTCTTTTACATCCTTGTGGCATCTAGTTTCAGTTCTACGTTGAGTTGCTTTGTTGTTGTTCCTACTGTTTTCCTGTGTAATGTAACTAATATAATCATTTTGAACAATACCAGAGAAAGGTCACCATTCATCCAGTTAATTTACATGTTTTAAATACAAACATGGGAATTAAGCATACTTCATGTTTCTAAAGACAATTTTGAAGAATTGGTCAAAGGGAAGAATTTGTCTTTCAACAAAAACAAATCCTTTCAACTGACTAGCATTGTAAAGAAGTGGAAATGTGTACTTAAAGCCATTGTTCCTTTATGGGGTTCAGTGTCGGACTTTGGAAGTGTGACGTTTTTGTTTGTGTTTGCTGCTGTGTGACAGGACTGATGGTCGCCGCTGGTCGTTGGCCTCCCTTCCCTCCTCTGGATATGGAACCAACACTCCCAGCTCCACTGTCTCTGTAAGCATCATGCATTCACCCAGTCTGACACAGCTGGCGTCACGGATTGTAACAGGTCAACCTTATCATTTGCAGAAGATATCAACATGACTAGTTAAAAGTAGGGTTAAACAATTTGAGGAAGAAATAACACCAAACTCATCTACGTTCACATACATATATATATATATATATATATATATATATATATATATATATATATGTAATATATGGATAAAATAATGCTTGTTCTTGACGTCCTGCCAGGGTTCTTTTTCAAACCAGTCAGAGAAAAGTCAACATATAAATAAACTTCCCTCTACAATATTTGACCAGTTTAGCTCACAGATATAAGTTTGGTTTTATATACTATATACTAACCAGGCAACAACAGAGCAGTAGAGTATTTATCATCAAACAGTTGTCACTATAACTGCAGACATCAAAGGCTACCAGCTTAAACTTTCAGTTGCTACAGGTTATTAAGAAATTATGTAATTCATAATTACAATTACAGCTCTTAAAATTGGGATCTCGATTTAAAAACAATTAACCTTTCAGATCTAATTAAACTCAAAAATTCAAAATGCTACGAGATGACGGAAAGTTGGTCAAAAAAAGGTTTAAGTCACCGTGAAAAACAAATGAGTGATGGAAGTTTAAAAGGCTTAAATGTGGGATTCAGTATTTGTCATGGTGGCTCTGTTTACTCATGTGTCTGACTTATTGTGAGAGGCAAAAGATTTGTTCTTTGACACAACTTTGTGTCTAGTTCCTCTGTTTACATCTTTATCACTTTCACTCTGACAGAAAATCATTGTATTCAGAAGTATCAGCAAAATTCTTTATAGGAAGCAAACACACTTAACATTTACAGGAATTACTGTGTCAATGGGATTAGACGTTGCCTGTATTGATGTTGTGTTTGTGTGTTGTGTGGTATTTGGTCATCTAGTACATTTCCTGCTATTCACACCATCTATCGCAGGAAGCATGTCCTTGTTGCTCTGAAACATCAGTCATGAGTCAAGTCAGTTACAGGTCAGGCCCATAGTTGAGTTACTCAGTGCAGCAGTTTGAGTTTATAATAAACTATGAAAGCATTGCAAATATTAGTCTATTATCAGAAGTTTTTTGAAATGATTTATTCTTCTGTGTAATTTGTCAGAGCTGTAACCCTGCCTCATGTGTTACTAGTCCACAGTACTCATGGTTATTTGGGAAATACACTTATTTGCTTTTTGCTAAGGGGTAGATGAGAAGATTGATACCACTCTCAGGTATGTACAGTAAAAATGAAGCTCCTGTCAGCCTCTGATTAACTTAGCTTAGCATAAAGACCGGAAAGAGGTGGAAACAGCTAACCTGGCTGTGTCCAAAGGTAACAAAGTCAGCCTACCAGCACCTCTAAAACTGACTAATTAACATCTATTAAAGTAGGCTAGCTGGCTCTCCCGGCTTCAAGTCTTTATGCTAAGCTAAGCTAAGCTAACCATCTCCTGGCTGTAGCTATATATCTCTGAGTTAGGTACATATATGAGGAAAGTACCAGTCACGGTCCCTCAAAATGTGGAAGGTACTTTAGAAAACCTAAACATAGGATTGTCTGGTTTTTTTTTTTTGTTTGTTTTTTTTTATCCACAAAAAAAATGCTGTCTCTTTTTTTTTCTTTTCATGTTGAATATATATGTGTTTCATTTCCAGTCATCCTGTTCATCACAGGAGAAGCTGCACCAGCTGCCCTTCCAGCCTACGCCTGATGAACTGCATTTCCTCTCCAAGCACTTCTGCACTGAGAGCATCTCTGGGGATGAATGCCGCAGAGCGACGGCCATGCGACCACGCTCACGCAGTCTCAGGTACTGGTTTACCTCTGCAATTAAACATTATCTTCAAGTGGCACTGCATACCACTAATGCGCTGATCTGAGTCCAATTTATTTTTTACAGCCCTGGAAGATCTCCATCATGTTACGACCATGAGATTATTATGATGAATCACGTCTACAAGGAGCGGTTTCCTAAGGTAAGGGTGCATAATAAGTGTTCTACAGCCGTGTCTGGCCATTAATTATCTTATGCATCACCAAACAGACACCTTCTCTTCTTTCTGCAGGCCACAGCTCAGATGGAGGAAAGGATCCAGGACATCATCCGCAGCAACTCTCCAGAGAGCGTCCTCCCTTTGGCAGATGGTGTGCTCGGCTTTGCCCACCACCAGATAATTGAACTGGCCCGTGACTGTCTGGAGAAGAGCCGGCTAGGACTCATCACCTCCAGCTACTTCTGCGAGCTCACTGACAAGCTGGAGAGGCTCGTTCAGGAGGTGAGGACGTCTTCAGATACACTAATAAATCTCCGCGTGAAAATGTTCTGTTAATGATGTGCCGTTTTAGATATTTACAGCAAGAACCCCAGTTTGTGCTCCTCACGAGTTAAATTACATTGGAGTAGAGCGAAGTATCTGATTTACTGAAAACTAACTATGTGGCCATATTTGAAAAAGTAAAACTCAGAAGGTCGTTTAAAACTCTCACCACTGCTCTGACGGTATTTCCAGAATTCTTAAAGAATTCTAAGTAAATGGTAAATGGTCTTGTATTTATACAGCGCTTTTCTGGTTTTTCGACCACTTTACAACACATTCATACAATGACACTAAGCTCAAACACACACACACACACTCACATCAGCAATTTGGGGTTCAGTCTACTGCCCCCCTGCATATTGATACTGGGGGGCAGGAATCGTATTAACGACCCTCCGATTACTAGACAACCCGCTCTACCACCTGAGCCACAGCTGCCCCGAGCATCTGGATGAAAGAATCTCTGTCGATATTATTGATAAAAAAGGTCTCTGAAGTTGCAACTGTATCTCCTTATCCAAGTAGCCAGAAAGTCGTTTTTTGATTACATGAGCAAAATACGAAATATTTTCCTGTTATTACACGTGTTCCACTATTTATCTGGTTAGAATGTGAAAAGTTTCATGAACTACATAGGTGTGTATGTTATAATAACTATCTTGTTATTATATGAAAAATATCTTGTAATTACAGTAAACTTATTGTACATTATAGCACAATGTACAATATGTACACATTATAACATAATATTGATTTTAAAAATGTTTTACACTGTACAATATAATTTAATTTTGGTTCACATTCAAATTAAGCAAGAGCATTATGTAATTTCTGCTACCGTCTTTGTTTGGATTAGGAAAAAAGTGGTGCAACTCTGGAAACCAGAAAAATAAATTAAAATCTTGTTTTATTGTGCAACAGGGAATGTTTTTTTTATCCAGATGGTCACGAGTCTTAAAGGATTCTGAAAATACCTTCAGAACAATAAGTGTTGTTATTATGGGTTTTTCAAAGATCACAGTCTTTTTACTATACCTGACTTTGACCCCTCCATGTTAATGTGAAAAACTGAGATCTTATGTCTGTTCTTTTTGGCTGCTGTGTAGTCCACAGAGAGATCAGAGAGCGAGGAGGTGAACTTCATCAGAGAGCTAGTGAAGAAGATACTCATCATCATAGCTCGTCCTGCTCGACTGCTGGAATGTCTGGTACGTTTCATATCACTGTTTGTATATCTTTGCGATTATTAGTAGGCCACAAATTTTTTATTTTTATTTGATTTTGTAATATAATTCCCATCTTCTTGTACTCAGTAGAATAGGACAGGCACAGTTAACGATTAGCTGGTGCACAAAGTGGAACATTTAGCATCTAGATAACCAGATATTTCCCCCATGATGGTAGAGACCAAAGCTAGAGCTAAACGAGCGTGATTATTGGACTTATATCCATTAGGTGACCAGAAATATGGTCTCCAAATGAATGATAATGTTCTGTAACTCCTGGATGAGTAAATAGGTTAACAACTTTGCCAAATCAACTTAGGAGTTCTGCACTGAGAATGTATATGTCTCTACCTTGAGTAGAGCTGGCCCTTGATCCCATATATAGACATCGTGCAATTCTCATGAACTCACCATTCATCAAAGTGTAGAACTGCACAAAGAGATATTGTGAGACAAACCACAAAAACAACAAATCCTACTACAAAAAAACACTGATTTATTGTTTTCCTCCATTTAAAAAGTGCATCGTCTTCTTAAACACAGCTCATACCGTCATACACTAATCTGTTTCACCCGCTCTGTCTCCAGGAGTTTGACCCAGAGGAATTTTATCACCTTTTGGAGGCTGCTGAAGGACACGCTAAAGAGGGCCAGGGCATCAAAACGGACATCCCTCGTTACATCATCAGCCAGCTGGGACTCACAAGAGATCCTCTGGAAGGTACAGGAAGGACACCATTTATGGTCATCATAAAACACATAAAACAGCACTACTAGCACTCTCCAGCAAGACATCCAAATGACATACAGTAGCAGATTGAAATGAATTATAAAATATGGGGGAAAGTTAAGTTATTCCACTATTAATGCGTCATTACCTAGTTTCTTATATAATTCCAGTGAGTATTACAGTTCCTGCTTCTTCGATAATATGGCTGTGATGTGGTAAATATGACCAAATTGAATACATGGCTGTAAATGAGTGAAAGAATTAAGCTGTGGAGGGAACTAAAAGACAAAGATACTCTTGACTAATGTCCTGTACTGAACAGACTGTCTTTCTAATGACCCTCTGTCTCTCCGGATTCAGTAACAAACAACATTCATTATGACTAATTAGAAAAGAATGGCCTCCCCAAAGACCTTACAGAGATCCACGCAGGCTGGCTCATCAGCCAATCTCTCCATTCATTTCCCCCGAGTGTCTCCTGTGTTTCGTTTACCCAGTGCCTTGTGTGCCTGAAGCAAACCTACAAGGAAGGACAGATGTTAAATAGCAGTGGAAATGTGTTTACAGGCTCTCTAGGGACAAGACAAACACACCCCTGTGAAATTACACACATGGACTTTGGCATGGTTGCACATAAACACTCACACACAGAAAAACGTTAAAGATGCAAGGTGGTTTATAATGAGCACTTGTTCTGGAGTAGTGATTTTCAAAATGGGTGTTAGACATGTGTTTGTGTTGCCACATCTGATTTCCACCCCATTTATTTTCAATTCAGATTATCTTGGAGTCAGCACCTCCAGTCTAATAGGTGAATAAAGGCAAAAGTCTGCTGTTTTTGTTTTGTTTATATGTCCTGATTTGTCAGCAATTAGGTTACCTTTGTTTCAAAAACTGCACTGCAGAACATGTTCACAGGCTTCACATGAACTTAATAACACGTTAACAACATTTATTTTATATTAAACTGCTTATTTTTTCTTTATTTTGTCTGTTTTCTCTAGAAATAGCTCAGCTGACCAGCTGTGACAGCGGGATTGCAGAAACCCCAGAAACAGATGACTCTGTAAGCACTGAGAAATTGATTATTGTATTGATCTACTCCATCTTTACGTCAGGTGTGCTGCCAGCGGAGTAGAGATTTTATCTTTTTGATTTGTTTTAGTATTTGTCTCTCTTCTTGCCCTCAGTCTCAGAGCCTCAGCACAGCCTTGCGGTCCCGGCGTAAACCCTGTGAATTGGACTTTGAGATGACAAAACTCATCAGCAATGGTGCCTATGGGTAAGGGCATCTTATTATATACCAGCTTATCTAATCTCTAATGTTAGATGGTTTGTTAAAGCCCCCAACAAGGAGCCTTTTTTCCTCAGTTTCCACAAGAGCAGGGGTCTCTAACGTGGTGCACCTGGTTGCTCACAAGGAGCCTACGAGGTTTCATTGTGTCAAAACATTTAAATACATTACTGATATGTTTTTATGAATTAAAAAAGTATATTCAGACTACCTTTATTACATCCATATTCTGCCGATTTGCATAACTTCCAATTCAATTGAACAAGGATGTTCGTCAAGTATACAGGGTAGCACTTCTGACAATTTCCTCCCTTTAGGTAGCCCTCATTCTTAAAAAGGTTGAAGACCCCCGCATTAGACGTTAATAACAACTGACAGTAACACAGATCTGATTAACCCCAAATTTGACAACTTGTTCTTCCAAGTGGAGCTGTTTTAATCTCTTCTTTCTCCATCTTAATGGTCAACTGTTTATTCCACAGAGCTGTTTATCTTGTTCGGCACAAGGAAACGAAGCAGCGTTTTGCCATGAAAAAGATCAACAAGCAGAACCTGATTTTGAGGAATCAGATACAGCAGGCCTTTGTGGAAAGAGACATCCTCACCTTCGCTGAGAACCCTTTTGTGGTGTCCATGTACTGCTCCTTTGAGACGCGGCGGCACCTGTGCATGGTCATGGAATACGTTGAAGGTCAGCAGCTGGGGGTTTTAGTGCGTAGTGCTGCAGCTGAAAGCAGTACACTGTGAACAATAACTCCTGTGTGTTCTCTCAAGCACATCTGTAACTCTGTTACTCCATTGACCTTTACAGGTGGAGACTGTGCCACCCTTTTGAAGAACATGGGTCCTCTGCCTGTGGATATGGCCAGGATGTACTTTGCAGAGACAGTACTCGCTCTGGAGTATCTCCACAACTATGGCATCGTCCACAGGGACCTCAAACCAGACAAGTGAGACCTCAAACATTTTAAAGCAGCTGTGATCAGTATTTTTAACAATGGTAGCTCACATAGATGAACCCACTGGGAGTTATCACCGACTCTGCAGTTCCCTACAGCTATATGGAGCATTTTTACCTCATTGTTTTGGTTTCCTGGTGTGCAAAATGACTGTTTTTGTTCACTCTCACCTCTCACATAGAGTCATCTTCAGGCACAGCAGGCAGCTGTTTTCAGCGAAAAAAGCTCTAAAAACTGACAGTACAGTACCTGCTCTGCACCAAACAGCAGACAGTTAGAGACTAGCTGGTGAACATAATGAAGCATTTAGCTGCTAGATATTTCCCTCAGACGTTGCTGGATGTTAATATATCAATGATCATAATACAATAATATAACGTACAGAAAAATAAGACATTTTGCATTATTAGTTATTTTACATTTGATTTCTCAGTATTTACTGCTACTTAAGTTTAAATTTGAGTCTTTGAGTTGAGTTTTCCTTGTAATAGAGTACTTTTTACATTGTGGTATTACTATTATTTAGAGTTTGACCATTATGGGATTTTTGAGACAGACAGCGATTTTAGAGCGAACAAATTCTCCAATATGAAGGACGATGCAGTGAATTTTTGAGCTGGAATTAAAATAGACCTTTTCTGTTTGGATTATTACTATACAATGGCACTCAGAAGGTTGCCTTCTTACACAAATAACTTTATTAAAGTATATTTGAGTTAATATATGTTATGTTATATGTTAAACAATTAAACATATACATTGTCAACCAATTCTTACTGACATGAGAGCGGCTGCTTCTCTCTTTTTCTGTGCTGTTTGCCACAGTATTGAAAATCACAGCTCACTCTGCTAGATAAATGTCGAAGTGACACCAATATATTACAATATATTATAAGTGGTTTTTTTTCTGGATTATATTCTGGAAAAAACAGCTTTCATAACATATACACTGATACCAATGCAGTACTGCTATGTCTGTGATAGGCCAACATAGGCTGATAGTAATGCCCAACCGCTAATGAAGTTAAGAATCTAATACTTCCTCCACCACTGTCAGTATTTCATAATAGAACAATTGCTACTGCTGATGCTTGAAGTATAAGTACTTACTGTCTGGAAGTTTAACTGCCTAAAGGATTTGCTGACTGTTACAAAAATGAGGGTTTTATTTTTCATTTTCACAATTTATTGTAATTTTTTCCGTTCTCTTCCTCCTGTCCTCCTTTCCTTTCCACATCCCTCTTCCTCACAGTCTGCTGGTTACGTCAATGGGACACATTAAGCTGACAGATTTTGGGTTGTCGAAAGTCGGGCTGATGAACATGACCACTAACCTGTACGAGGGCCATATAGAGAAAGATGCCAGGGAGTTCTCTGATAAGCAGGTAAATCCTATGCAACTATCATTATGGACAGTTTTAATAATACATTTTCCACAAACCACCTCATGTTTGGAATATTTATTTGATTTTGTTTTGTTCAGGTGTGTGGAACCCCAGAGTACATTGCACCGGAGGTGATCCTGAGACAAGGCTATGGGAAGCCGGTGGACTGGTGGGCTATGGGCATCATCCTGTACGAGTTCCTTGTCGGCTGTGTGCCTTTTTTTGGAGACACACCAGAGGAGCTGTTCGGTCAGGTCATCAGTGGTCAGTGACACCTCCCTTTCTTCTCAGATGATGTAAAAATGTAAAGTTTCCAATGAATGAAGCCTTAGCTTGACACTCTTAACGATTCCCCCCCTCCTAATCCACATTAAAAAAATCCACAGGACCCCTTGTAAAGTGTTTACTTTGACGCAAGAATAAATGAGAGGAGAGAACAATTAAAGAACAGTTGTCCATTTCCTCAATCTAATTGTTGAATTTAATTCAAGCAAGAATTGTTCACGAGAAAAAGAGAGGTCAAAAAACTGTGTGGCTCCACCCACCGCTTGCTTGAATGCACCCAGATAAGATACAAGAGTACGAAGAAGCACAGTTACTAAGAAGCAACAATCACAGTCATCTACTCCCAAATATTACAAATATAATATAAATATACACATTTTGACTTATTACATTACAATAAATATTCCCTCCAATTGTTTCTAAATTGCTTAAATTACAACTATGAATGTAAAGACATATCGCAAGACACTTACAAATATGTGAAGATTCAAATCGGTGCGATGAATGGGGATATTAATTATTGTATCAAAACGTCTATAACTTTTACAAAGTAAAGGAAATGTGCTTTTGTTTGTATCCAAACTCAGAAATAAAAAATAATTAGAAAAATAAATTATTACGCTGATTTTTGTCTGAGAAATAAAGGAATCTTTTTACCTTATAGTTTGTCTTTAATCACATTTTGTTTAAAACATTGTATCATGAACGCAGCTGCATGAATTTTATCTAACCGTGAGGGGAGCTAGCTTTGGACGTTAACAGATTTCCTTTGTAATTTAAGTTTGTAAATTCAGTTTTTTATTTTTCTCAACCAGTACATGTTGTATATTTATTACAGCACATAGCATGCAAATCTTGTTTTTTGCAAATATGTTAATTACAAAAGCTATTAACTTTTTTTTTCAATTTTACTAAACACGTTTTCTGCGACTAGAGGTAATTTAAGCAAAGTCTCGCAGCATCTGCCGTGTAGATTCTGTCGAGCACATCAGGAGAAATTCCCAAACCTCATTCAAATATGAATTAAACATTTAAATAGTGACCACATGGAATTAGTTGGTATGCATATTTCTCAATTTATTGAGAGATTTCCCTGTGGGCCAGTAGCCAAACAGATGGCAGTTAGTGGGTTCTGCTTGACTTTAGACCACAGGTGAAGTTTTAATATTATGATGATGTGACTTTGTTCTCTTGTAATCTCATGGTGACACCAGCACGGTGAAAATCCTAATCTAAAACAAGAGCTTTTATCTTGTCAGCGTAGTGGCTTAGATGAATTGTGTTATTTGGAATTGCTGGCCTCTGTCTGTGGCGTGAAAATGAATGGCATGCCATGGCTGATTTGGTATGCTCTCAATCAAACTGTACCAAGCCTCTGAGAGTGACTGTTAATTAAAGGGGCCTGAACACACTGAATGCATGCCACCGTGGCCTCGGGCCGCACATACATATTCATATCCCCCCTCCCAAATTTGATTAAAATGGGGGACAAACTGTGCACAGAGCAGACAATCAGCATGGCACAGACAGGCTTTGCTCCCCTTTTCATTGCTTATCCATGAGGGTTTTTTACTGAAAAGCTAGAGCACATGTAAATTGTCTTGTTTAACATTATGCTTACGTCTTAAAACCAACTTTGTTTTGTCTGACTTTGGTGAAGCTATTATAAAACAAGAGCTCCAGAGATTAATTGCAAATATCGGCCTTAGTGGGTCACAGTGAGGTGAAAGTAGTCCCTAGTGCAGGTCGAAATCTCCAATTCAATTATAGGATGGAAAAGATTCTGACATGCTTGTAAAAATAATTTCATTGTTCAGGTTTCAAAGATGTGCACAAAGGTTGAAAAGTCATTGCCACAATGTCACGGTACCATTTAGAAAACAACACCGTGCTGAAAACCAGCAAAATTATTGTTTAGAAGTACATTTCTATGTGACTCCTGCATTTTTACTGCACAACAAATTTTGTTGTCAGCTCTAGTTAGCTAATGTGACAAATGGAAATCTAGTGAGAAAAAGCAGCTAGTATATGGGCTGATTATTGTGTCAGTAGAAATTGAATTTGAATCATTTAGAACTGAATCTGAATTGCTCAACTTGAATAATTGCATTAAAAAACTGAATCTGAATAGCATAATTTGAATTTATTAGTTTGAAACTGAATTCCAATAAACTTGAAACTGAATATAATATTATGAATCTGAATTCACTTGCAACTGAAACTGTATAGACGATAAAGCAGGGTATGCTTTAGGGCGGGGCTACCTTGTGATTGACAAGTCTGTGGCGACCTGTCAATCAAGCTAGAGTGACTCTATCTACTGCACTGTAAATTTGAGCCCCGACATAGAAAAAACGTATTAGGAGTCGGCCGTTAATTTTTTCCGGTTAGTACATTTTGTTTTAAGCATGTTTTACGCTAGCCAAAAATAGCGTCCTAATTAAAATCACAGTTTAACATGAATTACGGATGCACCTAGTTAACCAAGCTATCTAGGCTTTATAGTAACACTTTAGCCTGAGTGGGCTTCCGTTAATCCTGTCGAAAATGCATTCCCTTCAGTTCACGGCACATGGTATGGGTCTTCACATCAATCAATCCCTACAAGCTAATGTGACGACTTCTTTTTTCTCCGACTAACTCGGCACTGTTCAGTGCGTTGCTGCCCCCCCCACTGGTGTCTAACGTTACATCTCTGCTACAGGTCCAGGAAATGGTCAAAAACAATCGTGCTGCTTGGCCAAAAAGGAGCTCTGTGCATCTGCACTCGATTGCTCTTACTGAACGACCTTGACCCTTAAAAGTGAATCTTGTGGATTGAAATTGAATTTAGAGAACTGAATTTGAATTGAGAGAACTGAACGTGAAAGTACATAAAAAGTAGAATTTTTAGTGATGCTCAAATACAGTTTCAGTTGCAAGTGAATTCAGATTCATAATGTTATATTCAGTTTCAAGTTTATTGGAATTCAGTTTCAAACTAATAATTTCAAATTCAGATTATGCTATTCAGTTTTTCAATAGTTATTCAAGTTAAACAATACAAATTCAAATTATGCAATTCAAATTCATTTTTTTCAATGCAGTTATTCAAGTTGAGCAATTCAGATTCAGTTCTAAATGATTCAGTTTCTACTGACACAAAAATCAGCCCATACTAGTAGCAGTGGTAATGCAAACCGAGACAGCATGGGTTAAAAATGCAGACGCCGTTAGTATTTAAAAGAAAAAAGTAAGGATATATGAAATTTACCTGCCGCACAAGTTATTAATATAATCATCTGGAGGTCTGAAGGTCAGATTTTCAATGAGCACAGAGAAACTTTCCACCTTCAGCAGATAAATGTGAAAACATCCTTCTAATGTCAAACTCTGCACAGACATCATTCTGCACAGTGAAGCTCAAACCTCCAACTGTAGGAGCAAGAAGAAAAACATGTTTTTGAGTCTGAAAATCCTGCTGTTTGTCATTAAAATATTAAGTATGAGCCAGACAGGATCATGAAAGAGACTCAGCACGACTGTGTGATTTTCGTCTTTAGCGTAGATGATGCCTTTTTTTCCCTTCTGAAGCCATCAGTCTGCATCTCTATCAGCAGTCACAAAGTCACATACTGAAACGACACTCACGTCAAACCACCAGACTTGTTTACAGAGCCTGACAAACATTTGCAGTATTTATTCAACAGCTGCTAACACATAGTAACATTGTGAGCTATCTTACCTTAAAACTGATTCTTCCTCATCAGTTTCTGTGCGAAACTTTCCACCACCTTATTAAAATCTGTGCCTCTGATCAGATCACTAAATGAAAACAGCAAATATAATCATTTTGCACTCTGAACTATCAGGGCATTAAAGCAACTTCTCATGTTAATCTCATGGTTCTGGTTTGTTTTTTACTCCTTGTTATGATTACGTTGTTTAAAAACAAATCTTTTTATTTGATTTGACCTTTATTTTAGATTTAGGCTTTAGATTTTATCAGGAATATTCCCATTGAGATCTCTATTACAAGGCAGCAGCATTAAGCTTCAGATAAAAGAAAAAAACAATAGGTTTAAAAACAAAACAGTAAAAAATCCAACATCCAACAACAGTGCAAAAATTCACTTCCTATGGTCACGTATCTTTTTCTGAATAGTGAACGACGACTAAAAACAAGTGAAAAGTAAATCTCAGGTTACATATTATATACATACATTGTGTTGAGTGTGTTACACAGTACATTTCTCTCTGAGAGAGTAGTTCAGGTAATCCTGTTTTTGTAATCTTTCATGCTTGCAAAGCCTAATGTTTTCCAACTCCAAAACCAGAACTTACTAATATTCTAGTAATAGAGCTTCATGGTTGTCTGTTGAGTATTTTTGATTAAAAACTGATGTATTGTGTGTTTCCAGATGAGATCAACTGGCCTGAGGGAGAGGATGCCCCACCTCCTGACTCTCAGGAGCTCATCACCTTGCTGCTCAGACAGAATCCTCTGGAAAGGATGGGCACAGGTACAGACACAAAGAGCAAAGACACTGTGGCGCAGCCTGTAACTCGGTTAGGACTACACAAACACAGCAGGCCCCCCATAAATTCTCATGTGACTGCTAATGCCACCTCAGCACCGCTCATTATTCCAAGTCACCGGGGAAGAAATTGAGGTCATCCAACAGCAGAGCCGTTCATCCTGTGGCCTCCTCACCTTTTCACTTTGATCAATTGCAATTATTTCCTTGCTAGTCCATGAATCTAGTTCCATGCATGATCAGGCAGTGTGGACTGTGAAAGTAGACCATGACCTGGGACAAAAGACCTTTTTAATCAGAGGGAGGTGCATGTTGCTGGTTCAGTCCGGGGACAGCTGGACCTCCTTGTTCATCTAGATCTCCCCTCGCCAGGCTGCCATTCACAAAGGCTCCTGCTACTCCACGAAAGGTCACAGGCAGGAAATTGTACTGCATAATTTATGGTCATGATATCGGTTTGGCCGGCAGCCAAAAGGGAAAAGGGAAACCTAGCGTAAGCGTTTCTTTACCTCCTGTGTCTAATTGAGACGTTCGTCGTCACCGTCCGGTGTTTTCTTCACAAGCAGTTTTCACATTTGTCCTGAAATTTTATTCAAACTAGTTCTTCATTTATGTTTATTCCATCTGCAGGTGGAGCTGCTGAAGTGAAGCAGCATCAGTTTTTCCACAACCTGGACTGGAACAGCCTGCTGAGGCAAAAGGCTGAGTTTATTCCTCAGCTGGAGTCCGAAGATGACACCAGTTACTTTGACAGTGAGTTATTGAGTTATGTAACGCAGTAAAAAACAGGAAACCAAAAGGGGCAACACTCCAGATTCTTTCAGTCAGGGTTTTTAACAATGTACACGTGTCCATAGACCTGCTTGGAAATCATAGAAAAGACGCACTCCTGATAACTTACAATCTCGCCGCATTATTATCATGTTTAGAAGTTTTCTTCAGTATCTACAGTTGCAAAGCAGGAGGAGATATTTTAGAGGCACCTGGTTCTGGAAGCAAAAGTTTTATTAATTTGTGTCACATGGGGGATTTTTACAGCCTGGATCAGCACAAAACTCTCCCAGTTTGAATCATCAGTGCAAAATATAATATATAAAAACTGTGTTAGAAAATATCTGGTTCTTTTATTAAAAAGTTAAAGGTACAAGTGTGTGTGCACATAAAAACTTCAACATAGACTTTAACTAAGACTCCCAAGGTGCAGTTTGGCAATAAAAGTCCAATCACAGAACTTTGAAATTCTGTTACCTGTTCCACTAAAGGTGTCATGGTTCCCACAGGTCTTTGAAATCTTTGAAAGTTTGAGGGAATAAAATCAAGGCCTTGAATGTTTTTGAAAATTGACATAAATAGACACGGGTCATTGAAAGTGCATGAATATATATGTTTTGTGGAAGAATTTTTGTTTTTTTTGTTCTTGTTTTTTACTTAAAGCAGCTGCAAGGAACTTTGATTTTGTTTTGATTCTGGCGCCCCCTGTGGACAAAGGGAGTACTGTTTCTGTCACCTTGTTTCTCGCTTCTCACTGATGGTGTTGTTTGTTTATGTAGGTCATATAGAGGCACCAGTATTAAACTGAGACTGTTTCATAACCAAAAACTCCTCATAGAACATTTCACATAATAAGTGTTCATACATTCCAGCCTCTCTCTCTCTATTTAACTGTGTATGAGCTTCTGTAAAGCCTGCTAGTTCTCATTATGAAAGTTCTCAGTACTGTAACAGTAATTAATGTTGATCCTTGTCTCAAACTATGCTTGGTTGGGTCTTTGAATTTGAGGATATTGGACCTGGAAAGTCCTTGAAAGGTCCTTGAATTTGATGTTTAAGAAAGTGCGGGAGCCTTGGGTGGGAGAAAGCTAAAAATGTCTGTGTTCAAAAAACTGAATACCAAGGTTAAATTAATTCACTGGGTCAATTTTGGATGAATTCAGCAATGCCTTGTTTTGTATAGACAAAAATATTTCCTCTGATTGGTCTCCATAGCAGCAGCAGCCGAGGCTCATGGGTATTATGGTATCATGGCTCGTCTACCAAAACATGATTTCTCAGAAATAAAATAATTAAAACAGTTGGCCATAACATAAGTAAATATGAATGTTACATTAACCAATAAAAAAAAAAAAAAAACAACTGAAATCTAAACCTCTCATCATCCCCAGCCCGCTCTGAGAGATACCATCACCTGGAGACAGAGGAAGAGGATACGAATGATGAAGACTTCAATGTGGAGCTGCGGCAGTTCTCGTCCTGTTCTCACAGATTCTCTAAGGTGTGTCCTTAACCTCCCCCAGTAAATTTAGAACTAACACTAACACATGCATCATCATTACTGCCAGACATGTTAGTAATGTAAATGAGTTGATGCCCTCATCTGTCCTGCTCCTTTTCTCATGGGAAAGAAAACATGAGCAGTTGGTATTTATATATGGAAATGTACATCCCTTCACTGCTCTCCCTTTACCCCTACAGTATTAAACGTAGATTTCGGCTTTGCATATATTTTCCGCTTGCAAATCAGATGTGGAACACAATACACACAATACAGTCATACAAGCTGGGAGTCATTGTTGTGCTGCATTGCAGTATGCTCCCTTCTCACATCAAAAACAAAGCAATACAGCGTCTCAGAAAGCAGCAGGGCGTCTCAGAGCAAGTGTTGAGCTGACACTGAACCTTTTCCTCAGCTGCACCTAAACTCCATCCTTGTAAGACTTGATGAAGTCTGCATTAGCTTAGACTGCAGTGTTTCTGCTCTGTCTCTTAATTGTAGATGTTAAAAACCCGGGTGTGTACCTTTTGAGGTCACAATGACTTGTGCCTTGCTATAGAATACTTTACATGTATTGATCAATCTTTGTAGCTTATTCTGAGCCTGAGAGTGTTTGTTTTGAAACATCTGCATATGAAACATAACTTTGCATTTATAGCCTGCATGCACTGAAGTGAATCATTGTTTCTGTGTGGTTGTCAGGTTTACAGCAGCCTGGATTTGTCCCGTGGGCACCTGGAGGAGAAGGGAGAGACGGAGGGGAAGAAGAGTGAGAGCCCACTGACTGTTGACTCTCTCAGCTGGACGCCAGACTTTGCTGAAATGTATGTTTGCCTCCATCCTTGAATCGGAATTACAACTTGAGTTCATTAAACCTGTGCTCATAAAAATAATACAGTATGTAGCAGTAGATCAAATATACAGTTCAGAACATTAGAGTATTAAACACAAGATGAAAAGACCTTTTTATTTACAGACAGAAACTGCAAAAGAAATGTAATCTTTTTTTATACTACAAATTCAGTGGTGGTTTAGATAATTTACTTGAGTCAAAGTACCAATAATCTTAATGTAGAGATAATACAGTGCTGCATTCAAATCTACTTACAGAGGTTTTGTCACCTGATTGTGACATTATTAGATTGCCTTTTAATGTTATAGCTGGTCATAAAGTTAGGTATGTAGTCGGGCCTCTCCAAAAACTAAGTTCTGCTACACAGACTTTAGACCCTTTCTCCTATGTTTGTTTTTTTGTAGAGTAATAAATAATTTTAATTCTGGGGGCCATACCATCTCAGGAGAAGTTTAGTTTTACTTTTACTGAATCTACTAACGACTAATAGACATCTGAAATGTGATAAAGGGCCCCAACTACACACATATTTTTTGTTCAGGGGTCACAAGCCAAAACATTAGTTTGTTTGGTTTGATCTTAAACAGGTATAAAGGTATATAGTATATATAATACAGTTTAAAAGTAGTAACTATAGCTGTCAAATATAGTGGAGTTAAAAGTGCAATATTTCTCTACAAAATTAGTCAAATGAATGAAGTAGCATTAAATGGTAATAGTCACCACCAAAATTGAATGAATCTGTACATTTCATGAGAATCTGTTCTCTCCTTCAACCAGGCCATCGCTGTCCCACTCGATAGACACAGACAGTGTGAATCAGGGCCCTCGCCCCAACTTGTTACCAAAGTTTGCCATCTCAGCAGAGAGTGAAGGAGACGAGACCTCAGGCCTCGGTGACCCCAGCAAGACCTCCTTCTCAATCGGAGAGCTCCCGCAGGATGAGCCTGACGCTACCACTCCAGGCAGCACCCACAGTGGAGCCACGCTCTCTGGTACGAAATAGGAACTGCATAGTAAACAAATGTATAATACAAGTGCTTGGTTTTCATTTTCAGAAATCAATCAGTTGTAAGCTCCCTGAAACAATGAAACTACAGTATCCATCCTACACCAACAAAACACTCTGGCAGCTGGCAGTAGTTTAATTTTACTTTAATCTGTCTTGATGATGTTTGGAAATAATTTTTTGGAGTGTTCTTTCTTGTTTTTAGCTCAGTCTGTTACTGTTGTATTTTGAATATTTTTTAGTCAGGCTACAAGCCCACTAACCACTATTTAAAGTTTGAGGCTTATTCACTTTCTTGCTGAGAGTTAGATGAGAAGATTATATCCCCATGGTAAATATTAAGCTGTAGTCTGATGGTGATGATGATGATTCCATCAAACTTCTGCCTCTTTGGTAAGCTCCACATTCATAAGTCAATGGACGCCAAGACTAACCCTTAAAACAATGCTGCCCACAGTCAAAGCAAACAATGCCTGTAAAGCTTTACATTTTATTAAAATATCATCCCTGAAGCACCGTTTTTTTCTACATAACCATTTGTCTCATCTAACTCTTGGCAAGAAAGCAAACAATCATATTTCTCAAAATATAAAATTTTTGTATTAGGAATGTAAAAAGTATATCTGTAAGTGATACATTTAATAAGTGAAAGTCATTTATACATCAGGATGCTTCCACAGCCGCAACCACTGCGACATGAAAAGTATAGTTGTGTGCCTAAATCTATGCTCCATCTTTTGTAATGATTAGGAAGTTTCTCAGAACATCTGGACCAATTGACACCCAGAGGTGAGGGGTTGGAGAGCCCTGACAGTACCAGTCACACATCCGCAGACCAGGGCCCTCAGACCAACTCTCTGCGGCCTGAGAGTGCCATGGAGAAGACCGGAGCTGTGGCAAAAGTCCCAAAGTCGGTCTCAACTGGCGCCCTGTCCCTTATGATCCCTGGGGGTAAGTCGAAGAACACATGCAGAAAGAAATGCAAACGCTGACTGAAAAATGCAATCTCAAGCACTTTGTTGAAGGTTGAAGCATGCCAGAGCAATAACGTGTCAAGAATCCCAAGAAGAGCAACAGACTTTGGGCAAATAATGTGAAAGAGATGAAAGCACACTATGGATCTGTGCGAAATTGGCCCAGCATGACACCTGCTGTGAGTTCCATTTTACAGAGTGGCTGCGGGCAAGTAGCCGAGTACAAGGCGCTAACAAGGAAAGTAAGCAGGCAGGGCAGGAGCAAGAGGTCTTCACTGCTGGGAGAGAAAATCCCATTAGTTTCACCCACAGCAGGAGCAGAATGAACCAGGCTCATGAGCTTTATAGCAGCACCTCACTACTCACTCCAGGGCCAGTCAGAGTCTGATTGATTAAATAAGAGTCTGCTCAGGTGGTGATTATCTCTTATTTTTCCAGATATCTTCGGGGTGTCTCCACTGGCCAGCCCCCTGTCTCCCTACTCCCTCTCCTCAGACCCTTCCTCAAGAGACTCCTCTCCAAGCAGAGACTCCTCCCTCTGCAACGCCAACCCGCGGCAGCCTGTCATCATCCACAGCTCAGGGAAGAAGTTTGGCTTCACGCTGAGGGCAATCCGGGTGTACGCTTGTGATGGTGACATCTACACTGTCTACCACATGGTCTGGGTAAGGACTCAAGTGTAATCAATAAACTGTAAGGGTGCTTTCACACTTAATCTGTTTGGTGTCGTTCAAACAAACTGGTTCATTTGCTCTTTTAGTTGGGTTCATTTGGGACGGTGTGAAAGCTGTCAGTCAACCTTTTTCCTTAAGGGACTTCTTTTCTATCATTGAGTAAACATACAACCCCTGACTAAGAGACATAATTTATGGATATTTGGTGTCATATTTAATGCTTAACAATAACAGAACAACTGATAATGAAGCCACCGAGGCTGTTTAGCAGAGAGTTGAAGGCTCTGTAAATATAGCTTGTGATCGGGTCTTCACCATTTACATTTTGAATAATAATTTAATAAAAAATGTGCTTAGATTTCTCACAGAAATGAATGAAATGCTGAGAAAAATCAAAGGAGAAATTGTTGGAAACTCCCAGGTTGGAAACCAGTGGACTAGACTACCAAACAGAGACCAAATTAAATGGGAGGGTCTCTCAAGGGGCAGACCAACCACAGGGTTTTACAATCGTAGATAGGTGATAGGTGATGCAAAAGCTTAATTCATCCATGTACAGCTTATGTTTGTACAACGTTGTTTTGTATGCAATTACATGAGAGTTTGGGGGATTGTAATCATTCAGAAAGTGAAAAGGAGTTAAAACAGAGGTGTGTTGAGCTTGTGTCCTACTCTGTTCATTTTAGAAGTTCCCGAATTAAAAGTGAGTGAAATGCAACAACCGCACAGTGACTGTTCCTGTAATAGTATGACAGAAAACGCCTCTTTTGTGTTCTTTTTTTTTCTGGTGCATTTGCTTAATGTAGGATGACAGGTGCCAAAACTGTACAATCAATTAGTCACCCGTCAGTCCATACGACTTAATGTTTACAGCTCTTAGTTTGTTACCAAATAATTCAACTGACAGGTGTGAAAGCACTCTTAAAACTTCTAACAGGCTGAAAAGAAAAAAATAGATGATGATGATAATAATAAACGTCTTTTCTGTCTGGTAATCAGAACGTAGAAGAAGGTGGACCTGCACATAAAGCAGGACTCAAAGCTGGAGACCTCATCACTCATGTGAATGGAGAAGCAGTTCACGGTCTGGTCCACACTGAAGTGGTGGAGCTCCTGCTCAAGGTAAATGAGAGTGTGCGTTTATCTTTAAACTGCAGCGCTTCAGTTTTTAATGATTTTTCTTTTCAAAATGTACAACAGCTCAGGTTCATAATGATATTCTTCATGGTGTTTGGAAAATGTAATTTTGTAATATATTAAAGATTAATTGAATTACCAAACATAAATTAACTTGAGGACCAATTATCAACAAAAAAAACAGCTAATCAAATTCTTGTGAGGTAAACCTGCTGAGTCGATGTTTCCATTTCAGATACTGTAAGCCTGACTGCCCGATCAGTAACTCTGTTAACAATGTCCAGATGTGCTCCAGTTAGGTTGTGCAAAAAATGCATACACAAAAGTATATCAAAAATATATTAAACTGAAGCAAAACATATTAGGCTAGTATACCACACAGAATCTTAACACTGATCTACTCCTGAGTGCAAATTAAGTAGGAATGTAGGAGAAACATTATTCTGGATAAAAGATGTCCTCTAAAAGTTTTGTCCTTCCTTTTCAGAGTGGTAGCAAAGTGGCCATCTCCACAACCCCCTTTGAAAATACTTCAATAAAAACTGGTCCAGCGAGGAGGAACAGCTACAGGAGCAAGATGGTCAGATGTGCCAAAAAGCCCAAGAAGGAGAGGACACCAGAAAGGTACAAACCGTCTTCTAAACGTTTTATTTCATTCACTCAGTAAAGGATTTTTTTCTTCTTTTCCATGTTTAAAATTGTATGAGAGGGTGTGGATTTAATCCTCAATGTCCTAAATATATGTATGTGTTTGTTTGCTGCACACCATATATTGTGGAAAATGATAAGAAAGTGATAAAAGTGCGAAAATGGCACAACTGTGGAGCAGTTCAGTCAGTCTGGACAGTATGGAGCCAGAGGTAAGAGTTCCTGTGCTCTTACTTATGACTGTAAGAACTGACACAAAGCAGAAAACAACTGTGAGCATTGTTCTGTTTGAAATGCTGATTATTTGTGTAATTTGTGTTAAACTGACTACTGTGCACAGTTCAGTAAAGCTGCAGAAAAAGAGGTGAGTGAATCATCTGATTTCAAGCGTGTAGACATTATACTATGTTTCCTATCGGCCTCTAGGGGGCAGATAGCTAACACACGGGGAATATTTGAACATATGGGAGTGATTAGTCTGCAGGATCAATGGGTTACTTTGCATCTAAAAACATTTATTGTGGAAATTTGCAAAATAATGTGATAATACAGAAATGCAAAATGCAACCTTCTTATTAGTCTTAGGCCCATGAATTAATCTAAATCCACTCTTTATGTGCTTACCTTCTATTTTTCTTTTTAAAGATTTTTTTTACTTTTCTGTTTGCTTTTTTTGTGTAAGTGATAGAGTAAAAAATACATACAAAAACAAAATATAAGGAACATGTTAACTGTGGTAAAGACCCACATTTTCAGTTCCTGCCTTTGTAGTTTTGAATAATTAAAGGTAATTTATATTACACAGTTGTACTATCTACTATCTTTTTTAGTAATTATTGTCTGTAGCGGTGATTGTTTTTATAAATGCTTCTAAAAACGGAGTATTTCAGTGGAGTCTGGACTGATTTCTTTTTTCTTTGTCTCACTTTGCTTTTTTCCAGGCGACGCTCCCTTTTCAGGCGTTTTGCCATGCAGCCCTCTCCTCTCCTGCATACAAGCCGCAGTTTCTCCTCTCTGAACCACTCCCTGTCATCTGGTGAGAGTCTCCCTGGCTCCCCTACCCACAGTCTCTCCCCTCGTTCCCCTACCGCCGCCTTCCGCCCCACACCAGATTTCACCCAGTCAGGTGGAGATTTTAACTCATTTTGATGATAGCTCAATTGTTGGTCAGACATTTTACTGTTTATTTTCATTTCATGTACTATATTTTAAATATTTTTCTCTGTCCTTTTAACTTCCAGGTGGCAACTCCTCCCAGAGTAGCTCCCCCAGCTCCAGTGCTCCAAACTCCCCCGCAGGCTCAGGCCACATCCGTCCCAGCACTCTCCACGGCCTCGGCCCCAAGCTGCCAGGTCAAAGGCTTCGTCAAGGGAGGCGCAAGTCTGCCGGTAGCATTCCCCTTTCTCCTTTGGCTCGCACACCTTCACCTACCCCCCAGCCAACATCTCCCCAGCGCTCACCCTCTCCCCTTCTTAGTGGCCACTCTGTTGCCATTTCCAAGACGACACAAGCCTTCCCAGCCAAGATACATTCCCCACCAACAATTGTACGTCATATTGTGCGCCCCAAAAGTGCTGAGCCACCTCGCTCACCCCTCCTGAAACGTGTCCAGTCTGAGGAGAAGCTTTCCCCCTCTTACACAGGAGATAAGAAGCACCTGTGTCCCAGAAAACACAGCCTGGAAGTGACCCAAGAGGAGGTGCAGGATGAGGAACTGAGGACTGGGGATTACACCGTCTTGCAGAGTGTGGAAGAAATGGCCTGCGAGCCCCCGTCAATCACCCGTGTACGGCCTGTTGAACAGGGCTGCTTAAAGCGACCCGTCGGTCGCAAGATGGGCCGGCAGGAGTCTGTTGAGGAGCTCGACAAGGAAAAGCTGAAGTCCAAGATGGTTGTGAAGAGACAGGACTGGTCAGAGAGGAGGGAGTCTCTACAGAAGCAAGATGCCCTGCGTGAACCTGATTCATCCTCCCTGTGTGCTGATGACAGGGATGACAGTTTTCTGGCCAGAAGCCAAAACAAAAGCAGCCCAGACTCTGGCCCTCTGGAGGCCAAAGCTGCCAGCACAACCCTTAAAGATGTGCTGTATAAGAAACTCACCACACGTGTCTCTGAGGGCATCGCTGAAACGCCTGGTGGCAGCGGGGAAAGTGAGGGGGGACTCAGATCAACTCTCTGCTCTAGTCACCCAGAGTGGCAGCACTCCAGACAGGGTAAAGATAACATGAAGCCAGACAGATTGGACTTCAAAGCTCCCAACATTGAGTTCACCAGGAAGCGGCTGTCATTTGAAGAACGAGAAGACTGCATGTGTCGGTGCTCTTCCGGCATCCACGAGAACCTGCACTTTGGCTCCACCAGGTCTAAGAGCCTCCAGCTGGACACGGCCATGTCTCATGACCACATGAAGGCAGGACTGGGAAGTGTTCACTCCAGCCCCGAAGGTCTGGCCCCCAAGCTTTTCTCCGGCAGAGAAGGGAGCGCTGTGGAAAAACTGCAGCTCATCTCTTCTGCAGAGTCTTCACTTCGAAAGACGTCATCTGAATATAAACTGGAAGGACGTCATGTCTCCTCTCTCAGACCTCTGGAGGGAACTCTGGATATTGGTCTGCTCTCAGGGCCCAGAGTCTCCAAAACAGAAACCTGTTTATCTAAGATGGCAGAGAACACAAGCGACACTGTCTCTGTGAGTCCTCCAATTTGGCTCCAGACCCCTACTGAGAGACAGATAACCATCCCCCAACTGAAAACCACAGACAAGATGAAGAGCCCCCTGACTTGTTCCGCGAGCCCTGAAGCTATTTCTTCTCTAAACAGCATAGTTGCCTCCAAAGACCAATCAAATAATGCTGCCACAGAGGTGAAAATCAGCACTAGTGGTGAGAAAACGCAGGATAGACATGGTGAATCATTAAAGGCTCAAACCAGCAAAGTGGAGGCCTCAACCTTTGCTGTTAAGCAAGAAAGCAGGACTGGCATGAAAGCCAGTCCTTCACTGGCTCATGAACATAGAGCCCCTCGACACAGCTCCCACTTCTCCTCCTGTGGAAAAACACCCTCCATACGGGAAGTCAGCAACGAAGATCAGGAGGATGAAGTGGAGCAGCAGGAAGTCACACCACACGCTACATCACAAAATGCTGACAGCTCCAAGACAGTAGTCTCTTTGACTGCAGCAAAGCTGGAGGTAGACATAAAAACTGTGGAGACTCCGGCTCCAGCTGCCAGTGGGCCATTACCCGTGTCACTGAGGCAGAATATAAACTGTGGTTTGGATACAGGTCAGCGTCAGAGCTGTGAGAAAAACACAGCTACTGCACAGAACTCAAACATGACCTCTGTTTCTAAGGTACAGAACAACTCTGCATCTGTACGCGCTCCAGAGAATGTGCTTTCAAAACAGCAGCCGGCGAACATCTGTTCTTCAAATACGGAACCGCAGGTTTCTATCAAAACATCAGCATCTGCTTCTGCACATGAATATAAAACCTGCAGTTTAAAATCCGCTGGTCAGGACTGCTCAGAAAGATCTGTTAATAAGGACAGTTTACAATCTAACCGATCAGCTGTGAAAGTGCTTGCTGATGCAGGCAGCTCAGGCTCTAAGAAGGAAGTTAACACATGTGTCACAGCTGCAAAAGTGGAGCAGAAGAGAGAAGTGTCTACACTAAAACCTGTCACCTTGTTAAATAACGTTACAGAAGTCCCACTGAGTGTAAATAAAAAGGATAAAACTGTGTCTGTTGGTGCAATAGAGAGTAGTAGCATATCGCTGCAAAAAAAAGAGGATCCCATATCACCAAAGATTAAGAATGTGAAAGATTCAGAGCAGCTATCAAAAAACAATCCAGCTGAAAAAGCACAACACAAACCACCTGATTCAGAATATCGCACCTCTAAAAAAGAAGACCCTGTTATCAGTGTGAAAGAAAACGCTGTGGTTCCTTCAGCAAAACAGAAAGGTTCAGCTTCAGCAACTGCAAATGACAATGTTCTGAGTCCCAAAAGCAAGTCGAGGCCTGACCCACAACCTGTAGCACACACCGCTGTGAAGACAGAGAAGGAGACAAAAACACTTGAAGTGAAATCTCACAGTACATCTCTTCCTGTCCCAGTACTTAAGGCCAGTCCAAATTCAAAACAGAGAGATCTGTCTAAAGAATCTACGCTCTCAACTTCAAACATTCAAGTAACCCATGACTCCAAACGGAAAGACGCCTCATTGCCATCCGCCGACGTAAAGCGGGAGGAGCCGGTGCAGCTGACGCACTCTCCCACTCTCGCTGATGTGAAGCAAAGAGAGACCCAGCCCAAAAGCTCTGTAGCAACCTCAGCTCACATAGTGAAAGAAAGCACCAAATCTCTCCCTCCTAAAACCGTCTCTTCATCGTCAACCCTGAAGACTTCTGTAGCTCCAGCACCAGTTACTAAACAAAGTCCTGATGCCAAACATAAAGACCCCTCTCCCAAAAACCAAGCCCCAGTCATTAAAAACCACCATGACTCCAAACCAAAACACACTGCTTCACCTCTTACTGCACCTCAACATCAGCTGCCGTCAGATGTTCCCTCACAGCCCGATCAAGCCCCGGTGCTGCCGAAACCCGCTGCGAAAAAGGAAACTCATTCAAGCGGTGGTGGCAGAACCTCCAGCTGTGCACCCCAAGAGACTCTAGTCAAGGTATCCAAGGAAAGCCCCAAGTCTGAAACGCTCAAACCGGACAGTCACAAGGGCCCCGATACCAGAAACACCACCCCTGACAAACTGCTGTCCTCCAGCAAGAAGGAGCCGGCTGAGAGGAAGAAAAAAGAAACTGTTCAAGAGGTCACGTCTGCACAGAAGAACACGAAAAGAGACGCATCCAGAGCTGCTCCTTCTGCGCCGAAAGACAGTTCAGACAAAGACACTGGCAGGAGCAAGCAGCAGAAGGAGTCACCACGCAGTTCTGGTAACAAAAAGTAAAAAAATAACAGCCGACATCATCGCTTCAGAGAATCCAAATGTAATAAAATGTTAGAAAAGGTTTGTGCAAACATCATCATGCCTTCTTTTTTTTGTTTTTGTTTGAGGACCGGGCAAGCTGTTACATGCTGATAGAGAGGTGTGTGCGTATGTGTGTGTGTTTGTTTGTTTGTGTGTGTGGTAAATAAGTTGACATATGACAACACGTACATGTTTCTAGGTCTGAATGTAGGCAATCATTTGCTGATCATTTCTGGTATTTTCTGAAGTTAGTGTTTTTTCTTTTAAAGTGAATGTGTGGAAGTTTCTGTGTATCGCTTTTGTGCAATCAGTATGTCGGGGGGGGGATCAATAGGGTAAGTAGCCTTACAAAGGTTGTAATGTACTGTAGAGTCAGTGCCATAAAAGATTTTGAATTGCACTCTTACTTATAGACTCGGAGGACCTGATGTCTTTTAATGCAGTAGACCACACGATTCGTTGCTCAGCAGTTTGAACGGCTGTATCACGATTGTTTCTCTTCACTATAATCAGATTCTTTTTTTATGTTGGGTTTTGTGCAGTGGTACACAGAAGGAACGCACTGTGTCCTGTGCGTTTCAATTAAAACTTTACAACAGCAACAAAAAAAAAAAAATGGAATCATCTCACGGTTCTAGAAATCATAGATTAAGGGAAGGGGCTTTAGGATTATGGGAAATAAAACTTGCTGTTCTTAGCAAGGTGTGGTGTTTGTTCACATTCCTCTGACATCTGTACATATATTTTTGATTTTTATGCAATAGGGTGTAAAAATGATAACACTGTAAAACTGGGATACATGGGCTTACATGATTGTCGTTTGTATTATATGTATAGATTTTGTTTGTTTGTATGCTCAATATTAGAGTATCACGTTCTGCTCGATAACTCTGTGGTCTGAAGTAAGCTACCGTGATGTATCCCGTCGAAAAAGGCGTCCTCTTCTTCGTGACCTTTCACATGTTTTCACAAAATTAACTTGAAGAAAAGAAAAGGCATGAGGGGGTAACTGGGCTATTTCTAAAAATGTAGCATTATATAACAAAACTGTGAGGGGCTGTCAGCGTCTCCCAAGAATGTCTTTATTGTCGATGATGTGTTCGCTGGCTGACTACGGTTTGAAGAGTGATGATTGTGTAAATTATGAAATACTGTGTTTGATTAATGAGACGAACCAGCAGTTCTGTTCAGCCAGTAATTACTGCGGTAGATTTCTGAAGGCTTTTGGGCATCCTCTCCCGGCTACGTCCGTGTCTGTGCAGAGGGTCACGAGGTCAATCGCATGAGCAGGACGCGGACAGTGAATCACATGCAACTCCACAGACATGCGTTACTGTCAGGGTTTCGAAGGATTTCGATGTCAGGCTTCGGTCTCAGTGTCGTTCAAGTCACGTGTGAGTGTTTGGATCTTAAAGGACTCTTCATAACGAGCAACAGCTGACTCAAAGCTGCAGATTTTCTATGTGGAATCCTGATTATTTGCATAGCATAGTTCGCGTCCACAACATACATTTGATGTTAATGTGCAAATACTTGGTACTATACATATAGGCTGTCATATATCAGCATTCACTTTCTGCAATTTACTCACACACTCTCACACTCACACACACACACACACACACACACACACACACAAACGTGTTTATATACTGTAGATGCCTTTAAATTGCAAACCCTAAAGGACAAACAGAAAGTAGCCTAGGACACTAAGTATGTAATGCAGTATTCGCTCCGTTGTGCTGGCTATGTGAAAATCCTGTCTACTACATATACTCTATGTTGACGAGTCATAAAAGAAAAGACTTCATTTAACATGACACAGAATATAGTTTATCTAAACGGCATACTGTATCTGAGAATGAAACTGAAACACATGAGATTGATTGCAGAGATTTTAATGTTAAAAGAATCTGATGTTTACTCGCATTAGATATTGTAAATGTATCGCTAATGTATTGCGAGAGAACAAATGCACCTTAATGTTTGCCAATATTCAGTTCAAACAGTGAGAAGAAGAGTAGAATTAGAACTGAAGATGGTTTCTGAATTCCCCCACATGCCCTGACTTCAGATTTAAATGAATCACTGAATTTTATTCGAACAATTGAACATGTTTTTTTTTTTTTCTTTCGTGTGACGACTGACATTTAAATCCTCAAAGCACATTCAATGTTTGTTTACAAAGCATCATGGATGTATATTTTGTATATTGTTGATTTGCCAAATCTGTTCTGTGTCACAGATGTTGTTTATAGTAGTGTGAGACTTTGCTCCCTTGCCACCAGGATGTTTAATAAGAACATTTGTCTGTGCAGTAATCAATGTCTTTTCATGTCAGGTTCTTCTTTGTCTGCTTGTCTTTTCAGTTTTTGTTTTTTTTCTTCCTCTGTGCAAAACTAGTCTTAGATGAACTTGCTTAAAAAATGGTTTGTCTTTTAGAATATGTGCAATAAAAGTGTTTTCAGTTTTGTATTTTGCCCAAGGAAAGCTCTATGGATGTCATAGATGTTGTATATTAAAACAGATATTTATACTTCTAATGTTGCGTAATACTGAAAATAAAATGGAATTATAAATGAACCCTTTCATTCCTCTTTTGATACACAGTGTGGTCTGTATAGATTGACAGTGTTGTCATTAAATTGCTGAGAATATAAATTATTTTCCATAAGTCCATAATTTCTCAATAACACATTTTCATAAATTCCCTAAAAGGAAACGAACCTTGTCGACAAAAATCACCTTATTTCATTGATTTCAAGGGGAATCCAACCTGGCAAATGGAGCAGTTTTGTCATTCCTCTTTTGCTTATATTCTTCTCAGGAAACTTCCAGGGAAATTACTACTTACTTACATTACATACCTGTAAAATAAAGCATCACCCAAAGACTTACAAGGATACAAGGTTATTTGTCATTCATAACGCAGGGTTGCATACTCTTATATATAAATGTGTGTGTATATATATATATATATATATATATATATATATATATATATATATAATGTATATCATATATAGATAATGATAAAAAATAAAAACCTGTTTTACATAATGGAGTGCTGAGGATGAATTAAGAAGTCTCACAGCCTGAGGGAAGAAGCTTTATGGTAGCAGAAGCTGCTGTACCTCTTTCCAGATGGCAGCAGGTTGAACCAGCTGTGGCTGTGGTACAGAGTCCTGTCCTGGGCCATGCACATCCCCAGTCAGGATGCTTTCAGTGGCTCCTCTGTAAAAGTTAACAAGAACATGGAACGGGAATTCTGCTTTCTTAAGAGTAATACAGTTGGAGATGACCATGACAGGTTCTCAGTGATGTTGATTCCCAGGAACCCTAAAAATGATTGAATTAATAACAGTCCCATTGTCCCCAAGCTTCAGTATCACAAGGGTTTTTCCAAGTCTGAGACTGTGGGCATCCCCTCAGACAAAGTTTGGAAAAAGATGCCCTTTCACCCGCATTCAGTTCATAATTATGTTATTTGACCCAGTAGACACTCAACAATGGAGCCAAGATAGCCTAATATTTCTTTTTGACATAACTAAAACCAGTCTGTCCTCTGGCATTTATTAGTGTCCGACTCTGGGAAAATAGGAAGAACTACTCCTAAAACTGTATCACTCAACTATCTCTTTAATCTTTTCTGATAACTAATGTAATAACTAATATATTTTTCCCACTTCCAATCACTGAGTCTCCCTTAAATCTGCTTGGAGCCCCCCTGGGGTGGCCCGCCTCCCACTTTGAAAGCCTCTGCTATAGTCTTTAGGTGTAAGGTTTGATATTCCACTGAAGTCTGAGCCAGTCTGAGATTCCTAGCAGACAACGTATCTTAAAGTTATATCAAATTGATTTTGCACCTGTGGAAGTGAAGTACAAAAAAGAGCCATCCTCTTGTCTTCCAAATGTCAGTTTACATACAGTGATGCACAAAGAGACCATGGTGTGCAGTGTAGTACCAACAGGGGGCAGTGTCCTTCCATCTGTTTGCTCCGGCAGTAACTGATCAGTGCGGGTTTTCTGTTGTGCAACGTCTTTTCAGTACATATACAGAGGACTAATGTGGTGTAGTGTACGGAAGTCCTCTCGAGATTAAAATGAATCTGATAAAGCTGCATATTTAGTGTCACTTTTATACAGATTACTGACTGCAAACTGTAACACGCAGCATGGGTAGACTTCATGTCATAATACATGTATGAATGATGATACAGGTGCTTTATGTTGAAACAAATCTCTTAGTTTGATCAGATGATCCTCAGAGAAATCCACAGTAGGCCTTTATCCTCCCACCGAGGATAAGTCCCTGTTCATGCTCAGTAACTGTCATTTCACATGTGATTACATTATTAATGATACAGATGGATCAGCATCCCTGCAGACTGATTACGAAGCAAAACTGCTGAATAGTGGACTGAATGGGGGGAAAAAAATCCTCTTAGGGTTTGGGAATGGGGTTAACTGTGTGGAGAGAGGGGGGGTTGTTACAGCAGCAGGAAACCAACGCAGGCAAAGAAAGAACATTGTGGTTACTCATTTATTATCATTAATTGGCTGTGAGCTTCAACTTTGAGTTGTTTTCCAGCAGGGAGCAATTTCCTCCCCGCAAAAAGAAATGCCTCTCATGTTTCATCGCAGCTGTAGGCCTCTGTCTTCAACGCTGCAATGTACAATATGTTAATCCTGTTCCCGATATATGTATTGTATATCAAAATACCAACCGGCCCCTCTCTGCCTTCCTCTGACAGGCTGTCTTTGGTATATAAAACATGGCACGTGCAAAGTGTCCTTCTTCAATCATTCCCTTGTAATTCCACTTAATAATAAAACAAATAGTATTCTGTTTGCTGGATTGTCAGGATAATAAAATGTATCTTCTTTGTCCATCTGGCTGCTTCCAGAGAGGGGAGGCTGCCTGGTTTGTAATCCATTTTAGAAAGCCTGATCAATACTAATGACGTGACCAACTGTGTGTATTGTTATCGATATAGGGTGTGTAGTTAAAAGGGGGGGAGTGCATATGTGTACACACAAATACACATGTGCACTGTAGAGACAACTACACAGCCACACTAGGGGTGCTGTGAGGCTGTACTTATTAAGCACAGCAGCTAATAAGAGATTTTGACCTGATGGTGGCGCTAGATGAGAGGTCAGAGAATCACTAAAAGCAGCCAGGATTCATCCTCTGAAAACAATTAATGTCTGAACCAATCTTAATGGCAATTTGTAGATTTTGGTACAGACAATTGTGAAGCTATTTCCCTTTAAACCACAGATGTGTGTAGGATTTAGTGGCGTCTAGCGGGGAACTGAATACTACTCGTACTACTTCCCGAAATGTAAAAGAAACTATGGGGCTGTGAAAACTTAAGAAATAACACACCTATCAGTATCATATTTCATTTCTGCCAATAGATCCTCTTAAATGTTACACACTGGACCTTTAAAGTAAAGGTGGGATAATAGAAAAAGTTAAAGGATCGCCAAGTTCATCATCGTTTACTGGATAAGTTACAAGTTTGAAATGCTGGTGGCACAATAGGAAAAAGAGGGGATCACAAAAGTAATTAGGATTCATCCTCTGGGCAACATGACTGTCTGTGCCAAATTTCATGGCAATCCATCCAAGAATTCACGTAAAGTAAAGATGCCAACTGCGTGGCGGTGCCAGAGGAAAAGTCAGGAGATCAACAAAGTCAGCAGGCTTCTTCCTCTGGGAACCATGAATATGTGTACAAAATGGCATGGCAATCCACCAAATAGTTTTTAAGATATTGCATTTCATTCTGGACCAAAGTGCTGGACCGACCAACCGACTGACCAGCATTGCCAACCATAGAGTCATGGTGGCTAAAAATAAAACATAAATAACATTCTCAAACAAATGAACATACAATGTGTTTAAAGTATGCACTGTAGCTGTGGTAAAATCTCTTAAAACATAACATTTTCCTAATATATGTGCTTTTAACGAGTGTGTGGTCATTAAGACGACACAAAGAGAAAAGTGAGTCTTATAAATAAAGAAGTAGAGGCGTTGAAAACAGTTGTGGGAAGACTGCTTGTTCCTGCAGACACAGGCAATCTGAGACACAGATAGATAAATCCACTCTGGCCTGTATTAACTTTTGCTGCTGGAATTTGTTCAAGTACATTCTGTGACTTGGGGGGAAGCCAAAAACTCCAGCCCAGCTCTCATATCTCGTGTTGCAAGTAATGGCTTCTGGCCGAGTTTTAGTCCTCAGCCACTGGCCCATCACGCACACACGGAGAAACGAGGAGAAGCTTCTCTCTCGTGCTAGAAATATTTAAAGAAACGACTGATTCTGTGTCAGAAAATGCCACATTTCTCCTGGTTTTCTTCTCTTCCTGTGGTTACTTTTCCTTTCCTGCAAGACAGTTTTCCACTTTTGCTCAATGAAGCTGCAGTAAGACATGTAACCCTGGAGATAGAATTAAAGTATTCCAACTGTTTTTGATCCTAATCGTAGTAGAAATGGAACAGCAGTGAAAACATCCTCGATGATTACGCAACAGTTTAAACTTGAATGCCCTGTACCCAACCTGTACATCATGTGACACATTCACCATTGTACATATTTTGTTGTGTTGATAAAGTCCTACAAATGATGCAATGTAGACACAAGGAAAAGTTTGTGTGGGCGGGCGGGTGGCAGCTGGTTTACTGTGGACGAGTGATTGCTAAAGTACACAATATTGAGATTGTGAACAAGCCTGGAATACCAATAAAAGAATATTATTTTCAGAAATTCATGGAAATGCTTGTGTTGCAACAATAAAATAAATAAACACTCAATTATAACCGAAACTCATGCGGCGGTGATGAAATGCTCAGTTTGAAATAGATTCTGAAAAGCTTCCTCAGAGCACAACTGAGCAGACTCCATGTGTGGCAAAATACAGAGAGCACGCTGATTAAAACCTTGAAGGCCTGTATAGTTACAGTGAAATGAAAGGATGATGTATGACTGGATGATATTGTGGTTTTTGTGCAAGGCTGCTAAATGGCGGGTGTACAAAGAAACTGAATGATGCTGGGTCATCAAACGCTCCTTTGCATTGATTGCACATTGTAAGTGTATATGCGTCGTGAATGTACTCGTGTCACTAGTTTAGTTATTATTATATCATGACTTCAGTTTAGTCTATAAAGAGACAGATGACGACGCTGTTAGCTCGGGCTCAAGTGTGGCCTCAAGGTGCTGCAGGAAATAAGGAAGAGACAAATCCAAATGACCCGCCCTGTTGCTTTTGGAAGCGTTTAACGCCACAGTGTCAGAGCTCTGTGAAATCCATTCAAACACATTAAGCTAACTTTACTTTTTTATTGTTACTGTTGGTCATTCCCAAAACTCTTAAAAGTCTTAAAAAAATCTCCATTTATTTAGCATTGCACTCCTAAAACGTTACCAGACTCATGATGGACAGTTTTTAAAAAGATCAAAATCAATGCAGCAGAGGTATCATCTTTTTTATTCCTCGCATTCATTTTCCTCGTTAAAACTTGCCGCCTACATTACCCACAATGCATGTTCAAGGGAAGATTCGGGTAA